TTCTAATGAGATGGATGAAACTGGAGCCCATTATACAGAGTGAAGTAAGCCAGAAAGAAAAACACCAATACAGTATACTAATGCATATATATGGAATTTAGAAAGATGGTAACAATAACCCTATATGCAAGACAGAAAAAGAGACACAGATGTATAGAACAGACTTTTGGAGTCTGTGGGAGAAGGCGACTGGGGGATGATCTGAGAGAATAGCATTGAAACATGTATATTATCAATTGTGAAACAGATCACCAGTCCAGGTTTGATGCATGACACAAATGCTCAGGGCTGGTGTATTAGGATGACCCAGAGGGATGGGATGGGGAGGGAGGTAGGAGGGGGGTTCAGGATGAGGAACACATGTAAATCCATGGCTGATTCAAATCAATGTATGGCAAAAACCACTACAATATTGTAAAGTAATTGGGCTCCAACTAATATAAATAAATGAAAAAACAAACAAATTCTGCTAAGCTACCTGGCTGTGTGCCACATTCTCTGCTGCCCCCACTTGCATGGAAGGATTGTCTCTGCATCTCTCCTGGAATTCTGTAGTTCTTAACTTTGGCCTCATTCTCCAGAATTATTCTTCTCCATTTCCACTACATGATTTCCACAGCAAGCAGGTAGACTAGACTCTCTCAAGTTAAAAAAAAATTCTTGGACCTTCATATCTCTTCCCCAAATGCCTGTCCCCACCAGGCACCTTATCCACTGCCACAGTAAAAGCAGGAAATGCTGCCTATATATATATATCCAATGCTACAAACCTCCACCGTCCACAGGAGAACAAGACAGAGGGAGGGAGGTCCATGTAGAAGCCGTCTAGAAAGCCCATGCTCTTTCCTTAAGATCTTCATTCGCTCTATCTCTTGATCAAGTCTTTGGATTTCTTTTTGCCCCACATTTCTTACTCCACCTTAGCAAAAGGAGTCCTTATATTTAGCCCTAAACTTGCAAGTCCTAACAAGACAAAGGAAATCTGTGCAGAAAAGGGAGGCTGTTGCTACGGGTGCAGGAAGAGAGAAAATTGTGAATAGGAAATCCATTAAGAATAAAGCTAAAGGCTGGGAATGTTTACAGCAATTATATCTTTGGGGTTAAATAGTTTTGTGAGAATTATAGTTACAGAACAAAGTGTGAACATCATGAAACGTGAAAATAATATCACTATCAATCATCATGACATCTGGGGAGCAAATGTGGGAGGAAGGATGAGACCAATTTTCTCATCATTTACTTCCTTTTTTGGCATGGATGGAGTAAATCAACACTGAATATTCAGATCAGAAAAGTATGTTACTTGCAGGTGTCTTCTTTACCTGCTGAGCCACCAGGGAAGCCCCACTTAAAACATAAAATTTCCAATCTCTTAATCCTTTTCATGACCCATTTCCAATATTTTAGAGGACTCTCATAGGAAATAATCTCTCATGTAGTGAGTAAAAATCTGAATACTAGCAATGAATTTGACTATTTGCAGTTTTCTTTATCAAATATAAGTCTAATATTATTATTTAAAAGTAGAATGCATAATATCCCATTGATTGAAAATCATTTGTTTTTTTCACGTATATGTCTAGAGAGCTGACTAAAGGGTGGGTACCTAAAGTTTTGTTGTTGTTTTTCAGTCACTAAGTCGTGTCTGACTCTGTGACCCCGTGGACTGCAGCACACCAGACTTCCCTGTCCTTCACTGCCTCCTGGAGTTTGCTCAAACTCATGTCCATTGAGTCAGTGATGCCATCCAACCATCTCATCCTCTGTCAACCCCTTCTCTTCCTGCCCTTAATCTTTTTCAGCATCAGGGTCTTTTCCAATGAGTTGGCTCTTTGCATCAGATGGCCAAAGTACTGGAGCTTCAGCTTTAGCATCAGTCCTTCCAATGAATATTCAGGGTTGATTTCCTTTAGGATTGACTGGTTTGAGCTCCTTGCTGTCCAAGGGACTCTCAAAAGTCTTCTCCAGCACCACAGTTTGAAAGCATCAGTTTTTCAGTGCTCAGTCCTCTTTATGGTCCAGCTCTCTCATTCATACATACTGGAAAAACCATATGTAGCTTAGACTATACGGACCTTTGTCAGCAAAGTGATGCCTCTGCTTTTAATATGCTATCTAGGCGTGTCATAGCTTTCCTTCCAAGGAGCAAGCATCTCTAATTCTGGATGGTGGGAGTCTAGGTGATATATTCTTTTTTCATTTGCATTTTGATCTATTAAAATTTGAGTTCATCAGAAGAGGTTATTTTATTTTTATTTTACTTTTTAAAATTAATTTATTTCAATTGGAGGCTAATTACTTTACAATATTGTAGTGGTTATTTTAGAGTTTGAAAAACTTTGGGATGCCTTACAGGACTGGTCCAGACCTTGAGTCCCTCTTTTTCTCTCTGAGACGAACATTTCTGACTACCATTTATTCCCAGTAAGATGCAAAGCTGAGCAGTAACCAGATGGACTCACTGTCCATCCATGCCCTGTGATGAAGGTGGGATTCTTCAGTTGGCCAAATGACTCCAGGTTGTGAACCAGAGCTGTTCTCTCAGTGATAAGGGCCAGATTGGGACGGGATGGGAGGGAAGATGCTTTGCAACCAGATTCTATATCTGGCAAGCTTCCATTCCAAAGGAGATACACTGAACTCTTTAGAAACCTTCTCTTAAACATCAGAAATTGCCAGCCTAGGGGGAACATTCTAACATAACTCTCATTTCATTTAGGACATTTTTTTTTAAATAAAAATTTTGCATATGTCATGAAATTTGCAAACATTATATAGTCTCTCCCCTCCTGCAGATCTATGATCTGTTTTTTAGGAAGGAACACACAGATCTTTATAGCACTTTGCTTAAGAACATGACAAGACCTATGTTCTATTAATCCAAACTGTTTTCCAGATTAAGGAAGAAAAACATCGCATGGCTGTTGCATAGACACTGAGACCTATATAGTACTTTGCCAAGGGCCTCCCATCATATGAGAATTGTTCATTTTTATACCATAAAATGTATAGTTTATATCTCTGAAACAAAGATATCTAAGTTTCAGAGTATTTAAGTTTGGTGTTACAAGTTAATGATTTATTATAAAATTAAAACCACTGTTACAACCTCAAGTAGGTGTAGTATTTTAAGCCAGATGAAAATTATTTAATTCATTATACAGGTAGCACTGGGTTTATCCTAATGTGAACATCAGTCTTCTCATTATCTCTTTGTCTCACCATCCAAGGAAGCTGAGACTGCTTTCCATTCACATTGTTTAAAAATAACAATTAAGAATTAAATCACATCATTTTTCAATTTTACTTTTTAGAACACGGCTGTGTATCAGAATCAGAAAATCAAATACAACCACAATCAGCATTGAAAGTGAGTATATTTGATTTTATTTTCTCAGAGAACCTGTGTAAAGTCTGATCTTTCTCAGAATACTTGAGAGTGAGCAAGAATGATTAAGAATGTAAGCCAGCCACCTGACCCTCCACATGATCCCTGTAATAGGCAACTTTGGGGGATATATTTTTTTAATTCTAACAAAGTGTGCGTTCATGCGTGCTAAGTCGCTTCAGTCGTGTCTGACTGTGCGACCCCATGGACTGTACAGCCTGACAGTCTCTTCTGTCCATGGGATGCTCCAGGCAAGAATACCGGAGTGGGTAGTCATGCCCTTCTCCAGGGGATCTTCCTGACCCAGGCCTCCTGCATTGCAGGCGGATTCTTTACCATCTGGGCCACTAGGGAATCCCATAACAAAGTGTATGTTCACCTACAGATGTTCAATTGCATCCCTGTATAACTTTGTTTTAGGCCCTTCAGCAACAACTGGAATCATTTCAGGCTCTCCGAATACAGACTCTGCAAAATGTTAGCATGGTATGTTTCTTTTAATTTTCATAGAAAATATCCAAACTGAGGACACCATCGTACATGTCTAAGCTGACAACCCCTAGCCAATTGATCACTTGAAACTAAATGTAATAAAATAGAGCTGCAATCTATTCTAGACCCCAAATTTGCAGGAAACTACATTCTGTTATACCTGTATTTTTTTTTTTTTAATGTATGTTTAAACTGCTACCTGTATACAGTCTACAAATAGGGACTCTCGTCATAAGTGATAGAAAATCTAACTCAAAGTGAGGAGAAGGTGCCCCTTGTCAGCTCTGGTAATGAAAACCCAGGGATAGTGCACCTGGGGACGGCTTTATCCGTGTGACCAGGACTACATCATCGGAGAACCAGCCTCACTCCTCATCATGGTTCTGCTTTTGACAGTATCGGATTCTCAGACTCCAGGTGGTAGCAAAAGGGTTGCTAAAAGCTCCGGCCTTTATCTTTCCAGACTCCAGTTAGAGAAGAGACTCTGCTTGTCTCTCTTAGCAGTTTGTCCTGATTCTGATGGCCCCACATGCATTCTTGAAAGCAGTCCCCGTTCAGAATGAGGCAGTGCCGCTCTGACTGGTCACATGCTCACCCCTTGGAGCTGGAGGTGGGCTCTCTTACCACCACCAAACGCACGGGGACTTTATCCAGAAGAAACAAGGGGTAGTGTTGACAGGATAGGGTGTGGATGCTGGGGGTACAGATCACAACACATACAACTAGAGGCCCTATATAAACCTCATCCTGATATTCCTGTACAAGAAGCAAGTGTGGGGAAATGGGAAGAGAAGGTAAAATCCTCCTGAGGCTGACACAACAGATTCCATTCTGATGACAGAGTCAAGGATCTCTGATTTATTCAACAATGTAAAAATCAAACATCTAAAGTTTCTTTAATTCAGAAGGTTTTACTTTCCTCAGTTAAGTCTGATTTTATTATCACATAGTAAAGGCATATCTTTCTTAAAGATTCCTTCAATGATAGAGATTACAGTAAGTTTAATTTATATTTTATATGATGGCCAATAATTTTTATGTGTAGGAAATTTAAAGATATCTTTTAATTATATCTATTATTCTTGTGCATTCATAAGTTTATAAATCAAGGTCTGACATTCTTAATTTGTCTTTTAAAGGTACAGTCTGAAATCAGTGAAATATTGAACAAAAGTATTATTGAAGTAGAAAACCCAGAATTTAACCCAGAAAAAAATCTAGTATCCGGCACACACAATGAAACGGCTTTGGTATGTTCTTCAACATAAAATCATTTCTACATTTAGGTACTTCAGAAATGTTACAAACTTTGATCTTCATCTTTACATTCTCCCCTTCTTCACAGGGTGACTGGATTGTCAGAGGTGAAAATAAGGAAACTCCTGTCCTGAAAACCCTAAAAGATGTATGTTTACCTCCTCCATACTTCTACAATTTTCTTGTTTCTCTTAGAAGAGCATATGAGGGGCATTTGACTTAGTCCAGATATCTAAAGATTACCAAGTAAACTGAAATGCAAGGCAGCTTTTATAGCCTTTCTGTCCATTTATGAGTTCTCCTACTTTTAGGACTGACTTAGACCTAGAGTGAATTCTCTAGAACAGGTCCAAACCAGAGTCACTGTGTCTCCACTTATTAGAACTCACATTTCCAGAACAGTCACAGCCCTAGATACACTTGAAACTAGGAAGACAAGCTAAGGTTGACATACAGAAAGAATGAAAATTTTCATTTTCTTTAAACTTCCCTTTGAACTATGGCTTCTCTCTTCCCCATCAATGTATGATGGTCTCTTGAGAAATGCTGGATTTCTATTTCTGAAGTTGAGGGGTTGGCCCTGCTATCTCACTACTTAACTTAAGGAAATAAGTATAATTTCTAAGGAAACTGTGAAGACCAGAGTTACAGATCTCAAAATAAAGGTAGATTTTCCTGAAGAAAATGAATCATATTCGTTAGGCTTCTCTGCTGCAGAAATGGATAAAATGTTCATTCTGGTTGTAAAAATATATCCTCCCCAAAATATTGTCTTAATTTGTTGGTCATGTAGCAAATGATAGTACATTTATAGTGTGATTTTTATTTTTACTAGCCTATAGAGAATCAAGAAGAAACCCTTTCTACGGAGAAAATTCATCATTTTGAGGATTCCAGGACTCTTCATTCAGTAGAAGAAAAATTCAGTAGTGATAGTATTGACAGTCTTCCTCAAAGTATAGATGTTCCATGCCAGATACATTTCAAGGACATACTAACTCTGAGAACTTCGACAGATAATTCAGCTTCAGAAAATTCTGACAGGTTGAAAAACTATAATAACTTTTATAATTTTTTACCTAATGCACCTCAAAATGGGATGGCTCAAGCTGAGACGCTAATTCTGGATAAGTCCAGAATGACAATGCCTCTTCTCAAGAATGGATTTTGTGAAAATTTAGATGATATTTGCCATTCCATCAAACAAATGAAGGAAGAGCTTCAAAAGTCACATAATAGGGAACTGGCACTTACAAACGAACTGCAGACTTTAAAAGCTGTTCCAAGGCACGGTAATTATGACCTGCCCTCCATTCACAAGGAAAAAAACAACTTTATTAAGGAAGAAAATATTAAAAGTAACTTAAGTGAAGATATAAAATCAAAGAGAATTTTGGAATTAGAGGCATTAGTAAACAAATTGCTCCCACTTAGGGAAACAGTATCAAAATTCCATGTGAATTTTTGTAGGAAATGTAAAAAATTATCTAGGAGTGAAATACACAGGGGAAAAAGGAATGAGAAAAACAATAAAGAAATTCCTATCACTGACAAGAATATTGCAGATTTAAAACTCCACTCCAGAGTCCCGAGATATACATTAGCATTCTTTGACCCAACAAAATATGAAATGAAAGACAAAGAAAAACAACCATTTACAGTAAAACAAGGATCAATAATAGTTGAAAATGAGAAAACATCCAAAGTCAATTCTGTTACTGAGCAATGTGTAGCAAAAATTCAGTACTTACAGAATTACTTGAAAGAATCTATGCAAATACAGAAAAAAGTAATGAAACTAGAGAATGAAAACCTAACCCTTAAAACAAAAATTAAACCTCTTGTCTTTACCACACAATCTCTGATACAGAAAATTGAAATGTATGAAAAGCAACTTAAGACACTGGTTGAAGAAAAGAATACTCTCCAGTCCAAGTTAACTAAAACAGAAGAAGACGGCAAAGAGTGTCTTAAAGAATTGAAAAAAATAGTTAGTAACTATAATGTTCTCCAAGGACAAAATAAAACCCTCGAGGAAAAAAATAGTCAACTTTCTTTGGAGAATCAACAAATAATAGAAACATTAGATCAACTAAAAAGTAAGGAACACAAAACTCAAAGTGATATGGCCATTGTCAATAATGAAAACAAACGATTGAGCATAGAAATGGAATCAATGAAAACAAATATTCTATTGATACAAGAGGAAAAAGAAATGTTAGAGAAAAAAACACATCTACTTCTAAAGGAAAAAGGTGCACTGGAAAATGAACTGAACGAAAACCATCTAGAGACAGCACAGCTAAAAGAGAAAGAAAGACTGGCAAAAATCGAACAAGAGACACTTCTTCAGATAGTAGAAACGGTTAAAAATGAAAAGCTTAATCTTGAAACAACCTTACAAGAATCTACTGCTGCGAGAGAGATGATGGCAAGAGAAATTGAGGACATTCAAAAGTACCAATCTACCGCGGAAGAGAATTTTCTGCAAGAAATAAAAAATGCAAAGTCAGAAGCAAGTATTTATAAGAATAGTTTGTCAGAAATGGGCAATGAATGTGAACTGTTATCAAAAATGGTAATGGAAATTAAGACCGATAATCAGCTTCTAAAAGAAGAACTAAAAAAAAATAGTCAAGAAACTATAAAATTTGAAAATAGCATCTGTAGACTTGAGGAAGACAAAGTACTCTTAGAAAACTACGTAAGGAGTATAGAGAATGAAAGGGACACCTTGGAATTTGAGATGCGGAATCTTCAAAGAGAATATTCAAATCTAAGTGAAAAAATCTGCAGTCACCATATTGATCTCTCAAAAATGGGTCATGTTTCAAGGAAAGATAAATTCCATTTTGACATCTATGATATTTATGAAGACACCTCTAGTCCTGGGAAAAGGCCTTTAGCCCTGGGTTTGAAAGGTATGTATTAGATTAGATTGGTGGATTCATAGAAATGTGTTTAAGATTTCTTTTGTCTATCAGGTTTAGCCAGAGGACAGTAATAAGAAGGTGAACATTATTTTTGTAAGATTTGTATCCAATTCATTACATAGTGGAATTTCTTAGAGATTTTGGTCCTTTGATGTGTTATTTTATTTATAGTACTTCTATATATTGTATATGGCTAAAGCAACTTTGGTAGCAAGCAGTAAATTTTTTTTAATTATTATTTTTCCACGGTACACATAGCAGTCCCATTTTTTCAAAAATTCTTCTCTTTTTCCTCCCAGGAACTCCGAGTAAACTGTATCAATTGCTTCCATCCAAGACATGTAAATAAATTTCTGAAAACATTTCAAAATCTTTCATCCGAGTACTTTTTTCAACAAAAAGTTTTAAATTGACCTCCACATCTGATCACAATTACCTTATAATTGATTGGGCTATTTTTTAATTAGAAATTGGAATTAGGTATATTTTCTCATGCTGTCAAGAACTATAAACACCTGAGACTTTATCCAGTTTGTAAGCTAATGAGTTAGTGGGTTCCAGTGTCACGGGTTCCAGTGGAAGACGTAGGAATCCTGGGTCAGAGACAAAGGAGCTGGTTGCTTACAGCAATAGCAGTAGCAAGAGGAAAAGCACTTTCCAATGGGTTCTCCCAGTTCCTACAGGCAACATGAAACAAGTCACACAGTGGTTATTATAAGAGGAAACTCTGAGCTTTTCCTTTAAATACAATAACAGGTCAAATAGCCATTTTAATGTCTTTATTTGCGAATTCCATCTTCTCTACCATTATGGGGTTTATTTCTATTGACTGATTTTTCTCCCAGTTGTGGGTTACATTTTCCTGCTTCCTGGCACGTCTAGTAGCTGTTTTTTGTTTTAAACTGGAAGATGGATTTTTAAAAAAAAATAATTGTATTCACAAGTGAATACAATTTTTGGCCGTGCTGGGTCTTTGTTGCTTTTCGCTAGCTGCGGTGCGCGGGCAACTCCAGCATGCAGGTTTCAGCAGTTGCTGCTCGTGGGCTCTAGGGCACAGGCTCAGTAGTTGTGACGCACACAGGCTTAGAAGCTCCATGGCATGTGAGATCTTCCCGGATCAGAGTGCGAAACTGTGTCTCTGTATTGCCAGGTGGATTCTTCACCACCGAGCCACCAGCGAAACCCGGATTTTTGTGAATTTTACATTGTTGAGCGTCTGAGTTTGGTGTCTTCCTTTACAGATGGTTGGACCTGGTTGTCCTTACTTCTGTTGGAACTGGCTGTGCTTGCTTCTCTTTCAGTCAGATCCTCTTGAGCCTGGTTTTTTAGACTTTCATTAGGGTGGGTGCAGAGTAGTCTCTAGCCTACCTTAGAAGCTCTGGAGCCACCGGCGAATGCAGAGAGGTGTGAACGCCCCAGCCTTGACTTGTTTGGTGACATTTATCACTATGTAACTAAATGAATTTTTATTCATTTATGTCCACCTGGAAAAACCTCAGCTACTCTGAGACAAACGTATTCCCCTTTGAGGCTCATGATACCCCTGATACTGTCTTTGGGATGTTCATTCCACACTGTCCTTTGGATAGGAAATAAAAATCTTAAATATTCCTTTTGAAAACTTTTTCAGTCTTCTTTAAAAATTTATTCTTTTAGAAAAAAAGTAAACAGTGATGAGGCATGAAATAAAAATATACATTTGACAACAGGAAAACTCTCTGTGCCCTCTGAATCCCTTCAAAAGTCACATGTGTATCTGGATTGACCTGGCTTCTCCATCATTGGAAAAAATCGGGTCTAGAAGCAGAGCACTGCAGCCTCCACACATTCTGATTTTCAGCTCTGGGAGGCCTAGAATGGCAGAGGGACAAGTACTAAGAAAAAAACCATGAATCAAAAATAACTCCCCCAACACATTATACTAATCAGTTCAGTTCAGCCACTCCGTTGTGTCTGACTCTCTGTGACCCCATGAACTGCAGCACGCCAGGCTTCCCTGCCCATCACCAACTCCTGGAGCTTAACTCAAACTCACGTTCATCAAGTCAGTGATGCCATCCAACCATCTCATCCTCTCTCCTCCCCTCTCCTCCTGCCTTCAATCTTTCCCAGCATCAGGGTGTTTTCAAATAAGTCAGTTCTTCACATCAAGTGGCCAAAGTATTGGGGCTTCAGCTTCAGCATCAGTCCTTCCGATGAACATTCAGGACTGATTTCCTTTAGGATTGACTTTGGCCTCCTTGCAGCCCAAGGAACTCTCAAGAGTCTTCTCCAACACCACAGTTTAATTAATAGATACTGTAAACTTCCCTTTTAAAATACCACCACTACCCCACCCCGACTGAATGAGAACTATTGAGAGATACCTCACTATGAGTTATGGGAATGTATTTAAATCATATCTTTTAACAGATTTTTTAAAGTGATAGGGCCAGTGAAGAGGTAACATGGGAAGGAAGAGGATAAGACCTAGAGAGGCAGCTATAGGGGAGAATGAGAGAATGCCAAGGACCAACTTCATCCATCTTGAAACCTGGCCATTTTTTATAAGATACTGAACTGAAAGTGCATTCCCCACTCTTCCATCCCCCCCACACACCCCACACTGCCACCAACCCTGCTCAGCCTGGGGCTGCCACTGGCAGATCTGATGCTTTACACAGGCTATAAATAGAAGGCACCATACCACATTAACTGAGCTATCTGCCTCACTATACAACGCATGTATACGAGAATCTATTCAATAAGACTGGATCTGTACTTCCCTGATGTTAAGAATGCTTTAATGGACTGAGACACCTGGATAGCTGTCAACTCAACCTCCAAATACCTCCAAGAAGGAACAGCAAATTAAGAATTTACTGTAAAGCAACTATACTCTAATAAAAATTAATCTTAAAAAAACAAAACAGAAAAACGATACCACTTAATAGAAAAATAAGCATTCACTGTTCACGTTCTACCCCTCCAGTCCCCATTTTCACCCCTACCCTCCAACTCAGCAATATTTTTAATGTTAAGAGCAAAATATGTCAAATGAAAGAGTACACTTTGAGATTTTACAACAGTTTCAAACATTCCTAAACATCTCCTCAGAAACACAGATCAAGAAACATAGCAATTATTAACAAATACTAGTCATTTATTGATGTAATAGTATGAAAAGAAGGAAAAGCATTAGTCACAGCCTTAAATTTCTTTTAAATGTTTGAGCTATTTGTTCCACACATCTTATATATTTTTTCAAATAATGAGCACTTGATAGTGAATTTTTGGAAGTCAGGACCTGTAAGGTTATTTGTCTTCCAGATGTTAGTAGGACTGTACTGAAGCAGTCTTGTAGTTCTTCATATTTAGTGCCCTAAAATTGGAAAATAAATGCACATTTAATTTTATAGATGCAGATAATAGATCTGTATATTCTTGTAAAAAAAAATCTTGTAATTAAAAGTTAACAATCCAAACAAAACCAGATTTCCTCACCAAAAAAAAAGCTTCACGTATATCAGATATACTTTTAAAATGTAATTTAAGAGGGAAAAACTGGTTTATGAGACCAATTTTAAATACTACTTTCCAGAGTTTTAAAATTAGGCTAAAAAAGAAGCTAAAACTTGATTTAAGATAATATTTGTGATAAAGATATTTCAATAAACTCAAAATACTAAACTTCTGAACAATCAGATACTTTTTTCCTTTGCTTTAAACATGTGTGCTATAGCATCATAGAATTTTCTCAGATCTGTTCTCTGGATAACCAGAAAACTTGAAACCACACTCCTCCCCACACCACACAAAATTCCATTTATTTGAGTGTGAATGTGTTGAGGAATATTCTAACTTAACTGTCAGTTCAGTTGTCAAAGGATAAAGATCAAAGGACATGGAAAAAAGGCTCCACATCTTTGTTTCCCAAATGAATCCTCTACCAACTAGCCTGCAAAAAAATATTATTCCTATAGATAAGTTAAACTATATAAATAATGAAGGGCAGCCTTACTTTTGTGATTATAATAATGATATTTTTACAATCACTATCCACAAGTGATAAAGATGTACTATTGTTTCTACAAAAGGAATATGAATTTGACGTCCTTTTCCTAATCCATTGTATGATTACAATGAAGTTACAAATACATAAGTTAGTCAGATTGGCATTAAAACTTTTTCAGTGAATAGGCAGAAAGGGAATCAAATGAATTCTTCAGTATTTATAATCTTTCACACATAAAAAAAGAATGACAGACTGTCCTTTTCTAAATTATATTCTGAACTTCTAAGAACTTTTCAGTTTTGAGAGTGCTCAAAACCTAGGAAAGATTTGAGTTTTATGATACATGAATAATATACATACACTGTTCCTCAAAGTATTCTTAATTAATCAGAATATTTCCAGTTCTCATAGAGGATTATTTAAAAGTTAAAGACAAAATAAGTGTCATTAAGAGTCCACACAATTACAGAGTCTGGGGCCTATACAGAGATAATAATTTAATGAGTCAAAAGATCCTTTTAAGAAACAGACAATGTTAATATGTACTGCTAAGTGAAATATATATATATATATATATATGTATGTATGTATGTATGTATATATGCATGTATGCATGCTAAGTCACTTCAGTCATGTCCGACTCTTTGTGACCCTATGGACTGTAGCTCACCAGGCTCCTCTGTCCATGGGATTCTCCAGGCAAGAATACTGGAGTGGGCTGCCATTTCCTTCTCCAGGGGATCTTCCCAACCCAGGGATAGAACCTGTATCTGTTTGGTACAGACAAATTAAGCTTTTTCAATTGGGAATTTCAGAAGATGGGAAAGAACTTCTACAGGGGAGGGCAGGTATAAAGAAGAAACTGAGATATCTAAAGTCACCCAGATTTGTCAAATTTTAAAAGTATATATAAATAAAAGATATTACTCTGAAGAAATCTAAAAGCTGGAAATAATTTATGGGCTAATATTGCTACCTTTTGACGTTCAAAGCCATTATGCTTTCAACTGGTCTGCTTTTTGGTCCACCTGGTGGATGGAAAACTTTAGCACTTTTGCCAGATGGGCCTTTCAATTTAACCATGTAAGGGTCAACAGAATGTGAAGGGTAAGGATCAAATGTTCCTGCCTTCATTCCACCAGCCTACAAGTAAAAATGAGACAATTTAATATAGTTTTTTGTCAAAATGCTTCTAACAAAAATTAGATGTGAAAAAGGTCATATATATTTGTATATTATACACGGAGCTGATTTTACATTTAAAGAAAACTATTTATTCTGTTTAATTCAAATACCATCAAAGGGTCTTCCTACCACTAATTTTATGGGTTAAGACACTATAATTCCAAAAGTTCTCTATTAAAATGCACATAGTTATAAGAAGGTAATATTCTAAACTATTGCCAACAGCTAATATTTTAGTGAGTTTATCAGATCAGGCTATGAACTACACAGGATGTGAGTCCATTCCTGAGGGAGTGAGACCCAGGTGACATGTATTTTGATACAGGAAGAAGTTAGCGTTCAGAACCAGAGGACGAGAGATGAGGCCAAAGGTAAGGTTTATCCAAAGGACGCCTGGCACAACACGAGTTCAGTGAACATCAGTAAATGATGAAGATACTGAAAAAAATTTTTTTTAAAAAAATAAAGGAATAGCACATAGAAAAAGAAAGTGAGAGGCAAACATAATCCACAATCAGTCCTCCACACCAGCAAGATCTGCATCCTCAGATTCATCCAATCTCAGGGTGAAAATACTCTTTAAACAAAGAATTCCAGAAAGTTCCCCCAGAGAAAAGTTGAACTTGACATACACAGCAAACTATTTACATAGCATTCGCACTGTATTAGATATTGTAAGTAGTCTAGAGGTGATTTATATTATACAGGAGGATGTGCAAAGGTTACAAGCAAATACTAAGCCATTTTATGTAAGGGACCTGAACATCCTTGAATTTTGGTATTCTGGGGGTAGGGGACAGTGGTCTCGAAACCAATCCCCCATAGATACTGAGAAGTAACTGGATTATACATTGTACTTTTCTTATAATCTATTAAGAGAAGTCAATCATTTTTGGCCTATATGCAAAACAAACATTTGCTTTGACTTTTTAAACTGATACATATTAACAGGATTTTCCTCATATTATATATGGTCACCAAGAAAACTCTATTCAATCACAATAACCCATTTAATTAGGCATCCTTTCTCTTACAGTGTCTAAGCCAGATATACAAAAAAATGTGATTCATTTGAAAGATATGGTTGTAATTTTTCAAGTTATCACGATTGAGACACATGGGTTATTTTAAAAGCAACAAGTAATAAGGAATCTAAAGAAAATACAATTGATTAGTTAACTGATGTAAAAGCAAAACAGATGAATAGAAAATGGAAAAATATATGTGGTAAGTAAACCAACTCACCAGATGATGCTTAAAAAATCAACAGGTAAATCTATACTATAAAGATTGAGAAATAGGTGGAAGAAATCTATACATATATGGAATATAAAAAACTGTAAGATAATATTTTTTTACACCCCTACATTGACACATTTGAAAACCTGAATTAAATGAATGGTTCTCAAAGAAAAATATTGTCAAAGTGACTCAAAGAGAGGACACCTACAGAAAATAGATGGACATCATGTAAGAAATTAAGCTGAGAGCACTCACTATGAGAAGTCTTTTAAATTTTCAAGGAAAAGATATATTTGATGCTATTAAACTCTTACTTTAAGATGCTAGCATCTACCTGTATCAAAATAGAACAAGGAATATAAAAAATACAGACCAGTCACAACACTTATAATAATTGATGCAAAAATACTTAATAAAATATTAACAAATAAAACACAGTATTACACTTAAAGATTAATATAAAACAATACAACACAACACAACACAAGTGAGAATCATTTCAAGAAATATTATTTTTACTCACCTTATAATAAGTTAATGGAGAAAAACAAAGATGATCTAGATAGATTATACCAAAACATTCAACATAATTCTACAAACATTCCTGATTTAGTCTTATTTTTTTAAACATGAATGCTAGAGGTTATTCCCACGATCCCCATATTATGTCTAAACATTGGGCACAAGTATGACATGAGATGGAGAAATACTGGAAAGGAAGGAGCAAAATTATTTGCAGATAATATAATCATATATCTAAAGATCCAAAGAGAATCAATGAAATACCCATTAGAATATAAAATTTAATAAAGTGCCAGTTACTTTAAAAAAATCAGATGTTTTAATAAGACAAATAATATAAGGGGACTGATGGGGAAAAGAAACTATTGATCAGGACCTTAAAATGAGAATAAACATGATACATAAATCTATGTGAAATAAAATATAAAAATCCACAAGACAAAGGTTTCTGTAAGTAGCTTAATTCTAGATAAGAAGATTCAAAGTATAAAAATCCTAATACAAGCTAAAATCTAAAGATCTCATTTTAGAGCAAAACACCAAAGGTCTTTTTTCCCCATAACTTCACAAAATAATTCCAAAGTTCTACATAATAACTACTGGAAAACAGTCATAAACGTATTTAAAGAATAATAAGAAGAGACTAGACCACCCAATATTAAAATGCAATAATAATTAAAAGTAGTTTGGTACTGGTAGAAATAAACATCAATTAAATAGAATGTAGATTCAGGGGGAAAAAACACTAAAAATGGGAATTTTGATTTCATAAAGTGGCATTTCAAAACAGGGGTGTTAATTATTCTATCTGTGAGATCAGGAACAACTGGCTCTTTAAAAAACAATTTAACTTAAGTCTAAGTATAATAAGCTGCACCCATTTTAAGTTTACAGATTCTGTGAGTTTTGACAGATGTGGTTTTTCCAGTAGTCATGTACGGATGTGAGAGTTGGACTATGACGAAAGCTGAGAACCAAAGAATTGATGCTTTTGAACTGTGGTGTTGGAGAAGACTCTTGAGAGTCCCTTGGACTGCAAGGAGATCCAACCAGTCCATCCTAAAGGAGATCAGTTCTGGGTGTTCATTGGAAGACTGATGTTGAAGCTGAAACTCCAATACTTTGGCCACCTGATGCGAAGAGCTGACTCATTTGAAAAGACCCTGATGTTTGGAAAGACTGAGGGCAGAAGAAGAAGGGGATGACAGAGGATGAGATGGCTGGATGGCATCACTGACTCAATGGACATGAGTCTGGGTAAACTCCGGGAGTTGGTGACGGACAGGAAGGCCTGGTATGCTGCAGTCCATGGGGTCGCAAAGAGTCGGACACAACTGAGCGACTAAACTGACTAACTGATACACCCTTGAAACCACAAAGGCAATCAAGATATGGAACACATCCTCCCCTTAAAGCATCCTTCTGTCCATAAAACTGAATTTTGAAAAAGATAAAAGCTGGATCCTTGCCTTGTTCTTTCCATCAAAATATATTCCAGATGAAAATTTAAATGCAAAAGGATAAGACTAGTTAAAGAAATCAAGAATGCATATTTCACTAACATTGCTGGGAAGGAAAGATATTCTGAGAATGACATAAACTCAGCACAGAGGACTGATAAAATTGTTATTTTATATGATTTTAGCATTATAAAGCTTATATTAATGATAAATCATTATTGCTATTTCTGAATAGCACAGAATACTATAACCAAAGTCAAAGATTCAACAGACTAGAAAAATTATTTTCAACACAAATGATAAAACAATATCCTTAATATATGAAAAGATCTTACAGATCAATATGAAAAAGACAAATGTCTTAATAGAACATCTACAAGTAAAAGGAACACACAATTAACAGGAAAAAAAAAAAAAACCAAGGTATAAACTAAGTCTATAAACTGTAAGAAAGATTTTGATTTTTATTCACACTTGTAAACCTCAGCAGAAGGGAGACAGTTCATTTTAATCACCCTTCAAAAACTAAAGATGGTCTGAATTTTTATGGTTTTGAGAAAAACTGTACCTAAGATCTAGACAGGTGCTTAGAAAATTCATTGTAAATTAAAATACTTTAGAGATGAGTAATAATTATTTCATAAGGGCATCATTATTCCTTATGGTATCCACACACTATGACTTTTCATAATTTCATCAAAACAGGTTCCATGAGTCATGGCATGAATATAAACAAATGGGAAAAAAAAATAATATGACAGCAAGAGGCAACCATTTCCTTATGATACTTAGTATTTTTTCATTTTAAAAACTTTAACTTACCTTTTTACCAGGAGAAGAGGGCTTAAAAGGGTTTCCAACTATTTCTTTCTTCTCTACTTTTTTAATTGGTGGTAAAGGTTCCTCAGACATGTAAGGATTGGCATCAAAATATTCCCTTGGGTAAAGATTTAATTTGAAAGCTGTCCCTTTGAGTAAACGATGGTGTTCTTCATTCTCTTTCTGTAAATTAAGGAGTCTGAAATTACATTAGATGGCAAAACTTACTCAACACTGGAAGTAACGTAAAGTTAATTTAACTTTAAATTTTAATATAAGTATGTAAATTTTTTAAGTATATACTGCTGGGTTCACTTTTTTAAAACATTCCTTTGTTATGTTCTATTTTTATGATACAAAAGAAATGCTTGCTTAGGAAAAAGCACAGCTATGATTGTTCATCTTGAATATAAATTTATTTGATGTACATAGATATATCACTTGAACAAATCTTCATTAACTATCTATAATATGATAAAATGCATTAAAAATGAAAGTCAGTTTCTAGCTCAAACCCTAACTCATTCCCACTTTCCAGCATTTCCCAGGGACACTGGGAAGGCTACTGACCCTTTAAGTGTCACATTTTCTTCAACGATAAATGACGATCATAACATCTCCCAGGCCCTTTATGCTATGATAAAGATTAAACGCGATTATGTGTTCAAAGTACCTGGCACATGGTAGGCCTTCAAAAATATGTCAGCTTTTCTCCTAAGAACAAGGAACACTTACTTTTTACATTACAACACTTTTATGTTACAATATTATTTTAGGAAATTCAGGGACATAAAATTTCTGACTTATGAATAGTAAGTTCTACTCATAAGAACTATTATGAATAGTTCTAAATGCAGAATGAAAATGTTTTATTCTACAGAGAGGAAAGTATCTTATATCCATAAACTTAGGATGAAAGACCAATTACTAAGCTATTGATAAAGCTGCTTTGTAAAAAAAAAAAAAAGCCTTGTATGTATTTATATATTATATATTATCATTCCTATAGAATATTATGTATTATTCTATCCTATGTAAAAAGTAGTTTATATAGAATTTTATATAAAGTGAAGAGTTCATACACAGAAACAAAAGATGACTATTTTCAAATGACCAAGGTTTCTGCTCAATTTAATGGAAAACTTTTTCTGGGTTTGGACATGCCCATTTGCAAAATTGGCAGCTATCCTTCTATCTCGTGCGTGCATGCATGCGTGCTAAGTCACTTCAGTCATGTCTGACTCTGTGCGACCCTATGTGTTATAGCCCGCTAGGCTCCTCTATCCATGGGATTCTTCAGGCAAGAATATTGGAGTGGGCTGCCATGCCCTCCTCCATCTATCTCACTGCCATTTAAAGTCACCACAGCCAAAAGTATTGAAGACTGCATGCTGAAAAAAACAAAAATTTAAAAACTTGTATCCTCTCTAGTCTCCACTTCCTCCCTTCTCCCCAACACTCTTCCATTCTGTTTACTCACCATAATGGCTTGATCAGCCCAAAAGGACTGCCACTACTTTCTTAGGCACAAAATATTAGGGTGTGTTGGGAATACAGCTAAGGATTAGGATACAATGCTTAGAATCAAAATAGAGCAGAGTTAATCAGGCCATGCAGACAGAAGTCTCACAGCTAGTTTAGAGAGATGGAAGATAAACTATAGCAGGAATTAAAGCTCATCCAGGGACTCTAAAGTCAAAAGGGTAAAATTATCACAATTTCTAAACATCAACCTGCCATTGCCCACATAATACAAATAGGTAAAACAAAATAAACCCTAATTGGATCACAAGTGAATTCTCTAAGTCAACTAAATAAGAGAAAGATTGAAAGAAGTTACAAGAGATTCTTTTACCTTGTTAATTAGTTTTGCCGCATCATAGAGATCAGAAGAGTGTGAAAACTGCTTACCTATGGTAATATTTGCATAGCTACGGAAGGAAAATAATGATGATGACTTCAGGGTTCAGAAATTAAATTTTTTTAATTCAAAAAAAATGATATGAAAGTACTGAAATATCTTACCCATATCCAGTTCCTTTCTTTCCTGGGTTTGTGTATAAATTCTTTCCAGGTGGCTCATATTTTTCTTTGGGTTTAGACTGTGCACTGAAAAATGGGACTGGTCCACCTATGGTTCCATAGTAACTTCCTAATCCACAGCTTAAATAAGTGTAACAAGAACAAAGAGAAGCAAGGTAAAATAGTGAACTTTGTGTTATATGTATTTTACCAAAATTTATAAAATATCATCGAAAGAGGAGCAAAATATATGCAGTAGATTTGACGTGCCTAACTTTGGTAAGCAAAAAAAAAACTTTTTTTTTGTTATTTTTTTAATCTAATTTTCCCTATTATTCAAAGTTAAAAATTCCATTTTAAATGTTCTACATAAACAAAACTTAGCAATCTCCAGGAGGTTAGAAGAGTTTACATTAGTTCAGTTAACCATAAGAATAAATAGACACTTTTGTGTGTTCTTCTACTATGTTTTTTCTAAAATTAGTTTTTATTTAAGCATAGTTTATTGACAATATTATATTAGTTCCAGGGGATGGGAAACTTGAATAGGAAAAAAGTTGTTTAAAGGATAAAATACACATGTTACATGAAAAAGAAATAAAGCACCAGCCCCAAAGATACACATGGGAATTTACATCTAAGAAGAAAAGTAAGAAACCCAAAAAAAAGTAGTAGTAATAATAATAAATATATAATAATATAAATAATATAAATTAATATAAATAATAATAAATAGTTCAAACTTCTCCAAAGTATACAAAGGTAGGAAAAGATAAACCATAATAACAGAAAAGAAGACATTCTCCACTCTTAATAAAGACAATTTAACTTGGAAGACTGAAGCTTTACTAATCTCAAAATCACAAATAAGCACAAAATTATTTTTCAACCAATCCTCATCTGTCATAAACTCTAGATTGAGTCAATGTTACTGAGTGTGAATTAACATTATTATAAAACTCAGCTATATTATAATCACATAGATTATATCATTTTATCTGTTTAAGGATTTAAAGGTTAAAAAAAAAAGAAACTCATCCTGAAAATTTTTACAACTAAAATACTGTTTCCCTACATGTAACTTCATCATGATTTTTAAACAATGTACCTTCGATAAATTATCCTTTTTACCCAAAAATGATTAAAAGATTTCTCCTAATTTCACATTTTTTATTTATACTTTTTTAAAGCTTTAAAAAGCAGAAAAAATAGTCAAGGCCACAGACATGATGACCCAAGGCAATTTTTTTTTTTAGTCTGACTATTGTAAGATTTTCAACTAAAACTTATTTTCATTATTTAATTGGCTTTATTAGTATAAACTGATAGAGAATAGTGACATAGATGATTAAAAATTTAATGTGACAATGAGAATCTACTTAATCAATTACCCCGCAACTTAAATCACCCAATATAATTGTCTCCATCTAAGATAAACTCAACCTAAAAGTCACACTTTAAAAAATGAGTCATACGTAAGTCAGTCCCGACAGAAAAATCAACAACTCAGGCTGGAGGAAAGAGAGTGATGCAAGAGATAGATTTAAGATTTTCTCCTTAATACTTACGGTTTTTTCTCTCCACTGCTAGGGAGGAAGGCTTTGCTTAGATTTTTTTTCGCTTCTTCTATCATGTGCCGTCTCCTCACTTGATTTGGATTGACATAGCCTTCACCTTCAAAAATCCTTACAAAATGGGGATCAAAATAACCTGCCTGGAGATTGGACATTTCTTTGGATCCCCCAGGTAGAATCTGTTTATTTTTGCTTGCAGCTTCATTAAAGGGTCCTTTAAAGATAAAATAGGAATATCACAATTTTGAGCTCACCGCTAATAAAAGGACATGAAAAATAACAGAAAACTTTCCTGATCCTTGCCACTAGAACACCAGGGCGACAGAGAAAAGTTTTAAAACGTGATTTGAGCCAATGAGTTTTGAGATCTTAAATGGTGTTTCAAAATGGTCACTGAAAGATCCGTATCAAAGGCTTCACTGACAATAAGAACTAAGGCATTCCCATTAAAACATTTTAATAATTAGATTGAGATCCTCTTAAACTCTGAATCTGAGAGCTGGAAGAGGCCTTACAGGTCACTGAATCCAATACTTTCCCATAGGAAACTGTTTTGCATCTTGCCTTTTTAATAATTTATCTTAGAGATGTTCCGTATCAGTGTATTCTTTTTTATTGTTTTATTTATGACTCTTCTAAAAATCTCTCAGGTATTTGTTTGGCACTTCATTTTCAAGAAAGTGATCACGGATGGCCATTTTAGATGTAAATGTAAATGCTATTTGTATAGTAGGGTGTCTCAACTAAGAAAAAAAAAAGCCAATGGTTCAGTCCCTCCGTGGTTGTGATTCCCTTTCTGGGCTTTCCAGGTGGGGCACCAGTGGTAAAGAATCTGCCTGCCAATGCAGGAGCGACAGGAGATTGGGGCGATTCCTGGGTCCAGAAGATTCCCTGGAGAAGGAAATGGCAACTCACTCCAGTATTCTTGTCTGAGAAATCCCATGGACAGAGGAGCCTCGAGGGCTAGTCTATGGGCTTGCAAGAGTCGAACACAACCTTAACGACTAGACAACAACAAACAATATAAATATTCTGGGAGAAAACTGCCATGCACCTTGAAAACAAATACAAATACCTATGAGGAGAATATATGAAGGTAGGATAGTGGAAGAAAATGAGCTTCCTGATCTTACAAAAAAACCTCTCTCTTACCGCTGTTGAAATTTCACAGGTGTTTTCAATTTTATACCTAAAGCTTTAAAATACAGACCATTCACTGGCAAAGACAGAAATATAGATCAATGGAACAGAATAGAAAGCCCAGAGATAAATCCACGAACCTATGGTCACCTTATCTTCGACAAAGGAGGCAAGGATATACAATGGAAAAAAGACAACCTCTTTAACAAGTGGTGCTGGGAAAACTGGTCAACCACCTGTAAAAGAATGAAACTAGAACACTTT